TTCACTGGAGATAAGGGGCCTAGCCCAAACCCTAAATAACAGTTTCCACTGCTCCACAGTCCGGTGACGATGCGCTTTACACCCTCCATCCGACGCTTGGCATTGGACTTGGTGATGTAAAGCTTGCATGCAGCTGCTTGGCCATTGAAACCCATTCCAGGAAGCTCCCGCCGCACAGTTTTTGTGTTCACATTAATGCCAGTGGAAGTTCTAAAAACTAAAAACTAGAAACTAAAACTTCACATAGCCTGTTTAGATCAATAGTCAAGGGTAAGGGAATTTCCATTGAAAAAACTGCTTGACTGATAATACTGGAAATAAGTTTTATGTTAAATTGGAACAATGGCAAACTGTCTGCCACTATACCATCCCACACATAGTGCTGCATTCTAAATATCTAAAACCTAAAACTGAAACTTCTCTGTGGCTTTCTTCTTGGGGAGGGACTGTGGAGAGCTACAAGAACCACATGTCACATCTTTCTTTTCCACTTTCAAGCTCTCAGGACACGTGTTGACCCTGTCACCCTTGTAGTTATCCATTTTCAGGTATGTTGTTGGTTTTAAACACAGTTAACTTAGCTGTAACTTGCTAACATGAGTGTCAAGAGAAAGTTATTGTTCAGTTTTGTGGATTGTGTGTGTGAATTCACTTGCTGATAAATGAGAGCTATAGGTACTTTACTGTACATATTTCCTTATTTGTGACATAATTCTTGTGATCATTTATCCCAAAAGGCCTAACATAACTTTCCCCAAAGGGAACTTTTGAACTTTATTACTCCAACTGCTACGAAGAAAAGCTCTGACCAAATTCTGCACCCTGCTTCTGCTGGTCATTTTATTTGGTCAAATCCACAGCCAAAAGCAATACAAAGTACATCACGTATATACATTGTGTATAGATGAAGAGATTGTTTCCACAGTGTTACATAATTGTTTTATAGACAAGAAAACACAGTGGCAGTGATTAAAAACAAGAACAAAGTAGGTATGCAGTGGAGAACAGTGTTCCTTTCTGGTTTAGTGTCACTGGTTCATGCCGCAATACTTCCTGGTGTCCACTAGAGGGCAGACAGGGTACAGAGTTAGGTTCAGTCAATGGAAGTTTAACATGGAGTCCTTAAACTGACAAAATACGGTTATATGAGTAGTCAAAAATATAGCTGCTGAAATACTTCAGCTACATTTACAGGTACATATAAAATGATGCTGCAGCAATATGCAGTCCAGTATGTGGATGGTTAACATGCACTGGCTGGTGAAGTATTTATGATGCAATATAGTTTAAGCTTGGTAGTTTTTTCACCATCTGAAAGTTGAAAAAAAGCTAAAGTTAAAGTTTTGTTTTTTTCTAGCTGTTTTATTATTTCTTCACAGGTTCAACACATCTGAAAGACCTGAGACTCATTCTGGTTGTAAAAACTGGAACACGAAGAATGCTTCTGGAAACGTGACAAAGCCTTTAAAGAGGAAATGTCACCTGAGTCTGTCACTAAAAGCTAGAGAAGAAGTAAAGGATGGTGGGAGGATGTGGCAGAGAGCATAGATCTACAAAGACTGATAAACCAGTGCGGAGGAAGATACCATTCACTCATCAATGACAAAAAAGCAAACAGAACCCAGGTAACAGAGCTTCTAGAGAAGATAGAGAACATGGTGAAGTTCAATAGAGGAAGCCACTACACCAATGAGATGATAAAGAATATGAGGTGGGACCAGCTCACCTTGAATGCCTGTATTTAGCTTTATCATGACGAGGCACTGTTTATCCCGTCCGGTTTTCAATATCAGTATCATTCATTCATCATTTCCAAATCTGCTTGTTTTCAGTCCTACCTCTAGCCACCACTATGCACATTCACGTTACTGTCATCAATGAATAAAGATTGATGACATGATTGAAGATATTGATGATCCTGTAATGATTTGGGAGGCCTGTGTAGTTAGTGGTGGGCTACATATGCATCACAATATTTCTTAAGAGGAAAAGAAAATAAGATTTTTTTAAAAAATAGATTCAACTATAGCCTTTTTCCTTGGGCTCAAATAGATTTTAAGTACATTACAACAGGCTTCGTCAAAGTTAGGGAGGGATTTTGTCTGAAATACTCCCAGATCAATGTATAGGAAACAAATGAGTTAGTAGTAGAGGGCTATTCATGGCTATGATCCTGTATGTTGAGAAGCTGACATTGAGGTTGTCAAGGGGGCTCAACCCCTTTAGTCACTTTCACTGAATACGAACAATTTTCAGTTTCCAGGGCTGCTTGCTGTCAGTACACACAGTTTTGTAACCTGAACCTATGCCATCCCTCCTGCCACCAGTGGGTGGCTCCCTCCTCCTTTAGCCTGCTCAGTGTGTGCATTTCCTTGTTATTTGAGAAGTGGGTGTGTTATGAATTTTGTGACATATAATAGTCTCTCCTGCTGACATATCATACAGCTGAGGAGACTCATACAGGTAGGCTAGGTTAAGTATAATACCCCTATTGTTTTATATTTTGTATTATATTTCCTGTGATTAAATTGTTTAATTATGTAACCAAACAATTTACGTTACCATATATTTTATAATTTAATTAATCAAAACATGTATTTGCCACCTGTTTTAATAGATTTTCCCTTTTTTCTCCTTTTGTCTGTGAAGTTTTTGACAGATTTTAACTGCTTCAGGGATGTTGCGAGGAAAAGCTTGGATCCAAGTTTGCACCCTGCTTGTGCTGGTCACATTTTGCAGTCACACTGCTCATTGCCAAGCTCAACACAAAGGTAGGCTACACTGTATGTTAAAGGAAGGAATGTCACCGGCACTGCAGGTGTGTCGTGAGAGGAGAGTAGGAAATACGGAGCCCTTAAACTGACAAAATATAGGCTTGAAAAGATTATATTCAATCAAACATAACTGAATATATATTTAAATATATAATATAATATGATCTATTGAGAAAATAAAAAATAATAATTTACAGTAGTTTACTCTTCTGTCTTCCGCACGCTCATTTTACTTTTTATTATTTGTGGCTTGCTATATTGCTTTATTTAAAGCGCTCGTGGCTGAACAGCTTCAACTACCAAAAGCTACCAACTTGAAGCTGGCTTTCATCATAAACCTATATCAGTGTGGGGCATGTTAATAATCCGTGTAGCCTGCTGTACACTGCATGCTCTTGTAGCATCACTGCATAAACTACTGTAGATAAAGCATTTTAGTAGGTGAGCTAACACTAACAAAGTTTTCTAACGCTACTTAGTTCACAGACATGACTTATCCTCATAGCACTATACCTTCAAGTAGGCCTACATTTCTTGTCTTCATCAAAGCGTTTGTTTTTTACTCATCCTTACAATGTGTATGAGTAATGTCTCTTTTCTCATAATGTCAAACAACCAAAACTAAAAATCTCTATGGATTCTGCAGCAATATGCAGTCCAGGTGAAGTTTTTATATAAAAGTTAGCTTCAGCTTAGTTAGCTAAAAAAAGCTGGTGCTGTGTGTGTTTCCAGGTGTTCAGTTAAAATATGCACCTGATGACTTTGAATGGGAATACACAGAGTTGGATACAACCACACATTCAGTAAAATGTTAAATTAAAGCAGTCAGCAGAAGTGAGATTTTTATCAATAATTCTTGATGAGTGAATGCAAATATTTTTACACATAAGCAACCACACCACCTAAAAGTGACTATTTTATTTGTGACACCAATGTTTTATTAATTCTCCACAGGTTCAACACATCTGAAAGACCTGAGACTCATTCTGGTTGGAAAAACTGGAGCAGGAAAGAGTGCTTCTGGAAACACCATCCTGGGACGTGAAAATGCCTTTAAAGAAGAAGCGTCACCTGAGTCTGTCACTAGAAAATTTCAAAAAGAAGAAGTAAAGGATGGTGGGAGGAACATTGTTGTCATCGACAGCCCAGGGCTGTGTGACACAAAGCAATCACCAGAAGAACTGAAAGGAAACATTGAGGAGTGTATTTCCCAGTCAGTTCCTGGACCCCATGCTTTTCTGTTAGTGATGAGTCTGAAGGCAAGATTCACAGACGAGGAGAAGACAGCTGTGAAGTGGATTCAGGATAATTTTGGCTCATGTTCTTCCATGCATACCATAGTCCTGTTTACACATGCTGACTTGCTAGAAGGTAAATCTGTGGAAGACTGTGTGGCAGAGAGCAAAGCTCTACAAAGACTGATAAACCAGTGTGGAGGAAGATACCATTCACTCATCAATGACAAGAGACCAAACAGAACCCAGGTCACAGAGCTTCTAGAGAAGATAGAGAACATGGTGAAGTTCAATGGAGGAAGCCACTACACCAATGAGATGTACCAGGAAGCCCAGAAGAAACTTGAGGAGGAGAGGAAAAAGAGGGAAGAGGAGGAAGAGCGAAGAAAGAAGGAAGAGGAGGAGAGCATCAGAAAGCAGGAGAAAGAGCGTTACTGGTGTAAAATGATAGCTGCTGCTACTGTTACAGTAGTTGGCATAGGAGCGTATGCCAGCTCACCTTTGGTAATGGCGGCAGGTGCAGCAGTTGGACTCACTGGTTTAGATTGCACATCATATATATGACCTGTGACAAAAAGAAAATATGGAATAGACAATATATGATGCAAATGCAAAGCCTGAAACAGCCTCTACAAAGATGCCCTTTAACTAAATCTTAAATAGAAAATATCAGTGTGCATGCTCTGTTTGTTATTGGGAATGAGGAATGTGCTACATACAGTTTTTCTATATATGTCTGTGTGGGTTTCAAATGTCAATAAAGTCTGAAGATCAGTTTTCTTGTCATTCATTGGTAATTTAATTTTTCTACTTTTTAAAAATATATTTTTGATAGCTTTTTGTATGTTTAGCATCTTTTTTTAAATGTGACTAGTCTGTTATTTCACAGAAAGAAATGTGTAGATACATTATCATATTTGATACAAATACATATTAGTATTAGTTAAGGCTGATAGGTCAACCTGTTTCCAAAGGTTATCCTATGTTCCTTGCATGTTGATACTGTACAGATATATTTAAAATATTTAACACACGCCATCAATAGAAGGATGTGATATACTCCAGAGGTTTCTTGTTTCCTTCCTATTAAACAACCAGGCCTCAAACTGATAAACCTAAAGTTTATCAGTTATAGAGCTTGAATGCTGCTCTTGTGATTCTAAAACATACCAGCCATGCCCATACGCAAATCTGCTCAGCATATTCAGAGAGATGTGGACAGCCTCTGTGGGGATGCACATTGTTAGATGTAAACTAAAGACAATACAAGGAAATAGGAAGCCCCCTGTGTGCATAAGCCAGGCTTCCAGAAGTTTCCCAGAAAACTAACACGAAAGTGTCAAGCCACAGAGCTTGTCTATGTTCACTTCTCAGGCCTGGAACAGTACATTTGGCCACCTGGGAACTGGAAAAGGTAAATCCGAAGTAATGGCTGAAGGTAAGACAATCTATCTGACTTAAGGCTAAAAAAAAAACAAACCAAAAAAAAATGTGATCACTGTAAGATGTAACTCTTACTGTGACACTGGAAAGATCAGCAGAGGGAAATAGAAAAAAAATGTAGACCTTGATAATGAAGTCAGTGACTAATAGTCTTTTTTTCTTCTCGGTCTCAATGGTATAATTTCATATCACAGCAATACCACTGCGAGAAAAGAAGAAAACTCTACCTCGGTCTGATGGGTGTGGTCTGAATAACTTTGACGGTATGCTCATTCATTGTCTCTCTCATGAAATCTCTCAGTATAGTTACACATACATATATCTGTATATCACTTTCTAATAAGGAACACTGTATGAAGGCTTTATAAGTTATACTAATGGCTTTATTAATGTTAATATGTGGTTTACTAATGTTTTTCACATCAACTTTTGGGTTGCCAGGTAGTGAAACATCCCTTTGTCTCCTCTTTTTCTGTCTCTAGTATCACTAGCTCTTTTTAGAGTAGCTGCTTTCAGTGAATTTCGAAAATTAATGACTATTACATTATTAATGACTTCCTAACATCTGTATCAGACTTAACTGCTTATTAGTCACTTAATGACTTTTGAGTTTTTGCACCTTTGAATCCCTCATGAAGAGCATTCATCCACTTACTATCTTGTTTGCAAAAGAGTAGCAGGGCAACTGAAACCTGAATTTTATAAGCAGTTTATTACATTTACAACCACAGACTGTTTATGGTCGGGGAAAACCTCTTTTATTAACTCCAGTCCTCCAGTTATTAAAGTTATATTTACATTCAGTATTTTTTACCAAAACACATTGTGTGTCCTTGAGATCTAGCAAATAAAAAAAACACTTGCAAAGCAGGTTTTATAACATTTAAAATTATGAAATATTATAAGAATTGTATACGAGATTGCTGAAAGGTCCCAAGTTATTTGAATGAGAATCACTCACCCAGCACTTTTGAAATTGTTATGGCTCACTACACATGCGCATTATAATGCTTCTCCTGCTGGCCCCGCCCGTGTGGTCCCGATCGGCCCATAGACTTTACATTAGGATGATGTCATAAACTAAAAATACTGTATCTAGGATTTGTGAATGTTTTACTTCCATGGTTTAAAAATTCAAAATAGGAAGGGTACAAATCACTATTACTTGTTGTTTGAGGTGTCCTGTCAACATTTTTACCTTTACAGAGATAGTTAAGATAGTTAAGGCTATATAAAGTTATACTAGAGTGATATATACAAAACGTTCATACAACCCAATGCAACTCAAGTAGTGCCCATAAATCAAAACTGCAGATTAATGTGGGAAAAAACACTCAAATGATTCACTTTTGTCTTGTGCTCATCATTAATTCTGCATCTGCCGTTCCAGCTCTGGATTTGACAGGAGGGTTGAGGATAGTCCTGGTGGGCAAGACTGGATCAGGAAAGAGTGCTTCAGGAAACACCATCCTTGGGAGACCTGCCTTCAAAGAGGACCCAAGCCCTATGTCTGTGACCAAACACTGCGAAACACAGAGCGGAGAAGTGGACGGGACTTTGGTCCAGGTGATTGACACTCCAGGTCTGTTTGATACAGGCATCTTAGAGGAAGAATTAAAATCCAGAATAGAGGAGTGTGTTAAGATGTCGGTGCCAGGCCCTCACGCTTTCCTACTGGTGATCAGGCTCGGAGTAAGGTTCACTGAGGAGGAAAGAAACGCTGTGAAGTGGATCCAGGACAACTTTGGAGATGATGCCTCCATGTACACTATCATGCTGTTTACATGTAAAGATCAGGCCAAAGCTGACAATGCTCTGAAGGAGTGCAAGGAGCTGCGGAGGCTCTCGATTACATTTGGACGTAGATACCATGCCTTCAACAACAACGACCCAGATGACCAAGTACAGGTCAAAGAGCTGCTCACCATGATCAAGGAAATGGTACAGGATAACGGGGGGAAGCATTACACCAACGAGATGTATGAGAAAGCCCAGAAGAAGCTGAGAGAGGAGGAGGAGCAGAGGAAACAACAGGAGGAAGAGAAGAAAAATGAGGAGAGGAGAATTTGGGTTGCTGAGAAGGAGAAGGAAAAGAAAGAGAGAGAAAAGAAGAAAAAGAAAATATGCGTGGCATCGGCTGCTGCCGTTGTGTTGGTGTTTGCTGGGATGGTTATAGCAGTGGGAGCAGAACTAACAGTGGCTTTGGCTCTAGGGGCTCCTGTGCTCATCCTGGGGGTGTTATGTGGTATAGCTGCCCTTTGTATATGGAAGGGCATGAGATGCAAAGCCAAAACAAGTGTTCCAGTATAAGTAGTGAGAAGGACATGCTGATCCATCTGCAGTATTAGTACTACACACATTACTATTTACTGTTTAGGACTAATCAATGATTTTGTTTTGGCCTTTTCTGCATTCTGCTTCCAAATGAGTTTATGACACAACTGACTTTCTGCAATAACAAAAGTATGTGAATTTGGTTGTAAACAAGCGGTGTGAAATGGAATACTTGTTTTCTCTCTGTTTGTTTAATGTTCACTCATTTATTGTATGGAGCTTAAATATGAAACCCACATCACGAGTTATACTTGAACAGATGTTTTCTGGTTTATGAGAAACAGCTTCAATTCTAATAAATAATGTTCAAACTTACTGATAGATCTCATTGTGTGTAAATAAATGTTTGCACAATCTATACTTTTAAACCTTATGTGATAATGGCTCAAATAAAATATCCATGCAGATTAATTACCGTTCTTTATTTAAACTATGATGTGCTGTTGCTCTCGCTTTATTATTAGTAACATTACGGGTTCATTTCCCTTAATGTAAATTTGGTTACAGTAGATATCATCTGTTGTGGAGAAGTTTTGGTA